TATTCCGGGAGGCTAACGGACCAGAATCGGGGCCAGTGAAATTGCCATCACTGGCGTTAAACTAATACTCCTATAGATTGCATATTTGGTGCGACTAACCTTCTTGGATACTGCCACTAGGATCAATTCACTCCAGTTAGTGGGGTTGATTTTCTTCTGGAATGGTTGAGACGGGGAGATAATCGTTTTGCAGACGAAAGTAACACCACCCTCGAAGAATGGGGTTCAAGGGAATCCTGATCAGCAGCTCGAAAACGACCGAGGGCTGTGATCGTATTTTGGACCTCAGCTTCCGATGGAGCAACTAAACAAAATCGTAATAGTTCGGTCTGCATTACCTGGGCAGCAAGAGGTCCAGGAGCGGCAGGATAACTGAACTCCCTATGAGAGTGGTCTTCTTAACGATCTAGACAGCGAATTTGTCCGCCGTTGCTTTCCTTGATTATCTCATTGAGGCGTTATTTCCTGATACCAAAGAGTGTCAGCTATATACCCGAGCTGAGATAAAGCAATACGGCTGGCTTGCCGAACAACCTCCTCGTGGTGCCAGCCGGGTGGTTCTGGATTTTCCCGTTCCAGCAAATGGTTCGGCGGCAGTGTTCCAGGATGTGGTGGGTTTTCGCCTGGCAAGCGTTCTCCCTATAAAAAACCACATATGTCCGTTCAACAACACTGTGACGTGGCGGACATGACTCGCCACTAAATAAAGTCACTGCCCCTTGCTTCATCCTGACGAAGCATTGTATTCCAGTAACGTTATGCTGTAGTTCTGAGGAGCAATGGGCCTCTGTTTGACAGAGGAACAAACGAAAGACGTATGAACTGAACAATCAGTCACCGGCTCCCAATGGGCGCGATTCCTGAATTCGCTCCGCTGCCTTGCGGACAGGCTATTCAGCCAAAGGCTCGGGGTGGTGTCCCCTAAGTCAACACCCTACTTCGGCTTGGGCAACCGGGTAGTATCTCGCCCTCTGACGAAACCATGGACATTGTTTTGTGTTTTCCTTTACTATTTCTGTATCTTCGTTTGAATCCTATGGTTTCTGATGGCATTATGTCTATTCGTAGACAGTTACAAATACATATATACCGCAATACTCGAGAGTGAAGTTGTTGTCTTGGTGGTCGGAAATTCGGCTAATGGAGACTAATCGGAGTACTAGTAAACCGTCCTGTATTACAATTTGGGTCTGACAAATGCCATTCCGTATCTGAGGAAAGAAAGGGCGCTGTTCGAACCGGCACCAGTGTTTTGTTTGCTGCTGCCTCCTGACAGGTCTAATGAATCAGTGTTCACAGTCCTACATTGAGTTTTAGATAAGATTGATTGTAACGTGAGTCAATGAAAGGCGTAAGAAAGCTGGGTCGTCTACACAGCATTGTCTCTACAATACAGCCGGATTTTCACCGCATGCTGTTGTAAACATGCAAGCAGGATTATCCTGAACATTCAATTAGGTGATCCTGACTCAGCGTATCGTTCTTGTCTCTACTAATTCAGCATTTCTAAATGATATGCTGCATAAGACCGTCTGCCTGTGAAGCATCAGTACGAAACGCTCGGGAACTGCTAATGACTCCAAGTGTACGATGCTGTATCAATGAAGTGCATCTGAGTAAGACACAGGGCATTGGAAGCCGCAAGGCGCTTAACTCGTTGACGCTAACCTATCCTCAAACGACGGCCAATTGCTTATTATCGTGTATGTGCCTTTATTCCGAGTGTTCGCAAAGAGCATATAAGTTGCAAATTAGTTGCGCCGTCTCCTCTTATATTATTATTCACGATTAGTAGGCAATAAGAATTTAATTCTAAGTACGGTGTGCCGAAATGTATTGCTATATTGTTTGCTTATTCCTAAATTAGTTTTTTGAAGTAAAACTGGTCTTTATGGGTGCTGTAGTGCTTTGTTCCTGGCGCAAAAGTATGTTCGGTTTCTGCTAGGTTGATTTCCCTCCAAACTTGAAATAATATAAGTCCCATTTGCACACCTACCACTTCATTAAACAGTGACTGATATGTACAAAGCTTGTGGAGAAGCTAGTGTGTGCTTGGCTTGAGCCATAATCAGTGGGTTTCATAAAGCAGCACTTTAAGAAATGCCCACTGAGCAGTGGATTTGACTGACCAAGCTTGCCACAATCGTGTTTAACATTGGTCTTTTCTCTTCTGGAATACATACTATCACGATTTTGCTATCCATTGTCGAGCTCTTATCTCAACAAACTGTAGGTATTCGTACTCTGGTGCTAACCAATTTGGTCACAGTACAGCCAGATGAAAAATGACAACAATGTATCTTCGAAGCATACGTTACAGAGGATTCCCGGAAGGAGCTGATTTACAATACTCATTCACGTTACTTTTTTCTCATTGGCTTACACAAATAATACATCACATATGAAGTATGTCCTGTGAAAATACGCTGCTTCGTAGTTCGGAGCATTTATCAAAAAGCATGCTGCTACTTCAAGTAATCTGACAAAATGAAATGGAAGTAAAGGAAATCTCAGGCTCTTGGCGCCTTTACTGGAGCCAACGGTCTATAAGTACCCATAAAAATTCTCCTGCGGTACATCTCAACGCACTTAAAATTAGGAAGGTAAAAGGAAGCATCCGATCAGGATATTTCAATTGCAATATATATTCACAGTATCCGCCTCATAGCCTCGCTTTCTGGCATACTCGTATGTAACCCAGAGATTACGGTTCCTTAACATCAACCGTTCTCCAGTAGGAAGAACAGAATCGCAATCATTTAAAAAATAACAAGCTGACTGTTAACAGTCTTGATCAACTTGCGTAAAATAATATACTATTTGTTTAAGTTCAGTAGTCGAAATGGACAATATATAATTTCATACGACGATTGGTGGTTCAGTGATGGCGCGATGCAACCCGTGCTTCCGACTAAGGACGACAACAACAACAAGATAAATCGAGGTACACTACAGTCTAACAGACAAATCGGCCGCTGATGGCACCCACGAGTTAGCTGCTTGTCAGTGCCTTGAGAAAGAGAGACCTATACCGCGTCCGAAGCGAATGTGCTGTGGCCGTCAAAACCGGATGCTGCAATTTGGATTTCAAGCAACCATTGATTACCTACTGAAAATCATGTTTATCAGCTTTGCGGACAGTAGAACAAAAGCATGGGATACTTATGTTGTTAATGCGAAGGTAGTAAGCAAAACGGAACCAGTTGCTCTACAAGTGAACTGTGAAGACTCGTAAGTGCTATAAGAGATGTTCGATCAAAAGAATGCAAAATGACACCAAAGATGCAGCAATGTGGAAAACTTTCGAAGATTTGGATAAGTTCTCGAGTGCGATATAGTGCTGTGACAAAGCAATAAATGTTAACACATACTCCGCTACCAAGCTGTCTATTGTATTCACCATATGTGGACGGTGGTAGTCCGGCCGATGGCTCACCGAACAACCTCGTGGTGTCACCTTAATGGTTTGGATCAATGTTGTTCCAGCGAATGGTTCAGCGATAAGGATGCAGGATGTAGTAAGTTCACGACTGGCAAGCGTTCACCATATAAAAAGCCAAAAATATCCGTGGAACAACACTGCGACGTGGCGGACGTAACTCGCACATAAATAAAGTCACCGCTTCCTGCCCATAAGGATGGTGCTACCTATTCTACAGAGGTCAGAGGTCAACTGCGAAGAGTTTCTGTGACCACTACTTGCATTGGCGACCCAATCAAATTCAAACACACACAGCGTAACAACCTCAATAGACATGGTTGGCGGCATCCGGTTTCGGATTTTCCTGTCATTTCGACCTTCATTTGACAGCCACAGGACGCCTGCGACTACAGAGGGACCATGGATGGCTTGTCATGCACCAGGCACAGCTCCACCCACACACCCCAGTGTAAACCCGAAGGAATAAGACTTGGAGGTATATGGATAGGAGCCACGTTTCATCAACGCAGCCTGCCCACACTCCTTAAATACGCAGAACAGTAGCATTCATGCCTAATTAAAAAATCACGCGCACTAGAGGTACACAAGGCGGTGGTTGGGCCGAAGCCCGTTCCACACAGGATGGAACCACTTCGAACCCAGTACGGCTACGAGGACGGTGGACCCCGTCCCCCAAGTAACGATTCACAGTCGGGAGCCTGTAATCGAGGTGGAGGATGTTAAACAGGTGGGCACCTAGTCAACATGCACATCAAGCACAGTCACACCGGGGATATCAAACAACCAACATCGAATTAAAGAGAAAGCAAACACGCAAAATTGACACAGAATATGCAGCAGAGTAACGGAATTGTATGAACCGAATAAAGAAAAATAACTTTTATTCAGATTAAAAAGACCTAGATTAAATGTGTTGGTCTAGCCCAACTGCGGTGAAGAAGAATCGTGAATGCAACGTACCTACATAAATATACGCACGTAAGTCCAGTTCACAACTTATTAACTTGTGAAATACTAGTACGATCACCGGTCTTTTGAGTTAATATTACCATGATTATGAACAAGCAGGCGTACCCCGAACTTTCGAGCGTAAACATGTTATTTATTTATTTGTTTATTAAAAGTGGGACAACAATTAGGATGATGCTATCGAAGGCGACTGTATGCCGTTTGCAAACAACGAAGAATTGCAATGCTTGCCGGTAGTGCCCATTTAGATTTCACACAGGTTGGCATACCCCGTCGACAATAATATTTGTCTTTGTCAACTACAGCAAAGAATAGGGTTGGCGCGTTGCTCACATCTGGAAGCACTGCGCAAGGAGCTGACATGTAGACGCTGAAGTACGTTCTCAACAAATATTCAAATAGGCTCGTGCATAAGTGGCAAGGGTGGCAAACGAGATAAAAAGTTGAGTGCGGAAGAACACCTAAATGACCGTAACCAAGATGGTGCGAAACGTAATGACGCAGCAAGTTTGAAATGTTTAGGAATACTGGTAGCTCAGATTGACGATTCAGCTGCCCATTTGTTCTCTGAAGCTTGGTTGCAAACGTTTCACCACCATGCGAGATGGCATCGCAGTGTCCAAAGCATATAACGCAAACCGGCCGAAAATAGGTTGTGATCGGGTACAGCAGTTGTTTTTGAAGCTATTAAGGGAAGGATCATCATCATCATCATCATCATTATACATGTCAGCTAGAGATGGTAAAACACCTCCGCTATTGTACCGCAATACATAAAGGAAATACATACATACATAAAATACATAAAGGAAAAATAAATACGACAGTTGAATGCCAGCTGAGCTACCAGCAACGGATACGCATCGTTCCGGTAAGCTACTAGCCGGCTACTAGGCAAAAACAAAAATTTACTTACGTTTTACCCTACGAAATAAGATCGTAAATGAAGGGGGAGGCTAAAGGGGTGGGGAGGGATAAAGAAACTCACAGCAGGAACGCCACTGAGGTCGGCTCCTTGCCATATCAGCAAGTGTATCCAGCCAAACGTGTTCATCGTCTTTTGGACCCCAACCAGGGAGCCGAGACGCTCCAACCGAGGCCAGCTCCGAAGTGAGGGCCTTCATTCTTCTGGACCAAGTCATCGCTTGGCCACCTCTCCTCTTCTTCCACCCACATCCCCGGTGAGCAAACAACGCACGTCGAGGGAGTCGGTGGGCTGGCATGAGCAACACGTGGCCCAGCCATCGGAGCCTGGTGAGTGAAATGACGGTGCTGAGCGGTTCATTTCCTTTTCCTAGGCCGTAAACAAGGCATCAAACATGCTCGTTACACAGGCGGTGTTCCCATCAGATGTGAGCTAAATTACGAAGGCACCGGTGACCGAACGTAACTAGCCTCTTCATGTCCGCCGATCTTAGGGGCCAGGTTTCGCAACCGTACAGTAAGGTCGAACGTACCGCTGCATTGTACACTCTACCCTTCAGGGCGAGAGTAATGTCGCGCCGTCGCCATGGGTGGCGAAGGTTAGCAAAAGCACTTCGAGCTTTCGCTATGCGGTTCGTGATCTCGTCCTCGATCCCACGGGCGCTGATACAACTTCCCAGGTAATTGAATTTCTGAACGACTTCTAGCTGATCCCCACCAAGGGTCAGCACGGGGGGGCGAACCCTGCCAATCCTGGAGGAACGCTTTGCACTTCGGTGGTGCAAAGCAAAGCCCGAAGCGACTGACAGCCAGTGCTAATCTGTCCAGCGCGGCTTGACACGTCTCGGAGCTGTCACAGATGAGGGCAATGTCGTCTGCATACTCTAAGTCAAGAAGTCGTTCTCCTGGGAGTAGCTCCACACCTTCCAAGTCATGTCCTATAAATGCAATCTCCATGACTTCGTCAATAGCGAAGTTGAATAGGAAAGGTGACAACGGGCATCCTTGTCTCACACCGCTGGAGATATTGAAGGGTGGCGACAGCCTGCTGTAAGCCCTTACTCTGCCCGTGCTACGCGCATATAATGCTTGGATAATATTTACATATTTCTCGGGCACACCTTTCCTGAGTAGACAATTCCAAAGGGCACATCGATCAACCGAATCGAAGGCACCTTTGATGTCGAGGAACACGACTACGGTGGGCCGCCAATATGTGTGACGATGCTCCAACAACTGACGCAAGGTGAAGATGTGGTCGATGCAGCCACGACCCCGACGAAACCCGGCTTGCTCCTCACAAATCTGGCTTTCACGAGCGCCAGTCAGTCTGTGGAGAATTATGGACGCGAGTAATTTGGAGGCGATGGAGATCAGACTGATTCCTCTATGGTTGCCGCATTCCGAGCGCGAGCCGCCTTTGAAGATGGGAACAATAACGGAGCGGCTCCAGTCGGTTGGGACAGTTTCCTGCTCCCACAGTTTCACTAGTAATTCATGCAAAGCATCAACAAGAGCAGAGCCTCCAAATTTGAAGAGGGCTGGGGGAAGATCATCTGGTCCCGCGGCTTTGTTCAACTTCAACAGTCCGATCTCACGTTCGACTTCTGAGCCAGAGGGTGGATCCAAAGGGACAGCCCACGGAGCGGGGCGATCAGTGACCGGCGAATCGAACAATTCTTGCCGATTAAATTGCTTTTCAAAATGCTCAGCCCAACGCTCCAGACGTTTTGACAAATTGTGGATAGGCTGTCCACTCTCGTCACGTATAGTTTCACTAACACCAGGTCTCCTGCTGCCCGTTTCCCGTATCAGACGGAATAACTTACGATGGTTGCCAAGGGCAGCGGCCACTTCCATCTCTGACGCACGATGAGACCACCAGGATTCGCGGTCTCTCTTCAGGCTAGCACGGAGTTTTGCCCGGAGCTCTTTGCGAGTTTCATTGTGCTCGCCTCCAGCCGGGATTTGCCGGCGAGCATCTATAAATTCCAAAGACTGCGAAGAGACCCAATGTCCATGTTGTCTATTAGACATACCACATGAGGATTTGCCTGCTGTTAGTAAGGCCTGGCGAACATGTGACCAGTGACCATCAATTGTCTCCTGTGAGCGCTTGCTCAACTCGCATGTTAGCGTACTTCGATAAGCATTCAGAACAGCTGGTTTTGTCAGTTGGCTGGTGTCAATACGCTCACAGCGTCGTCGTGGGCGTCTGCCAAAACGCATCCGCATGTCAGCACATACAAGTGCATGATCAGTGTCCACACATGTGCTCCAAATCGAGCGACAATTCTGGATGCAGCCTCTCCAGCGGTAACTTATTGCAATGTGATCGATCTGCGTGCAAGGCTGGTTCGAGGTTGGTGGGCGCCAAGTCACCTTCCGGTGGGTGCTGTGTCGGAAATTAGTGCTCGCAAGAAATAAGCAAGCATCCTCACACAAATGAAGTAACCGCTCACCGTTATCATTACGGGAGCCTACACCGTGTTGACCGCCCAGATGCAGTTCATCAGTGGACAACTTTCCAACTTGTGCGTTCATATCCCCCGCCAGCACAACAGTGTCCGTGCTTCTTCTGTGGCGAAGGAGCTGGGTCAGTTGGCGGTAGAAGTCGTTCTTTACCGAATCATCGCTACAGTTTGTGGGCGCATAGGCAGCGATGATGAATAGACATCTATTAGTCCCGCGCGACTTCGAAGCTTTAAACGAGCCAGCCAATCGGACCGCACACATCCGGCTACTGATTGGAATCCAATCAACCAGAGCAGTTTCAGCCCGGGGACTCAGGGCAATACCAACACCGGCTTGGCCGGTGCTCGAAGCTGCATCGTCACCGGATAGGCGCAAGGAGAAAATACTGCTTGCGTCCCCTGAAGGGGATCGCAGAGTGAGCACAGTGCTCGAGTCTTGCAGGCGAGTCTCTGATAAGCAGCAGATATCGATCGAGAGGGTCTCCAATGTTCGGGCAAGTGCTGCCTGTTGACCGATTTGTAGCAGTGTGCGTACATTGAGGCATGCCAATCTGAAGGAGGATCGAGGGCTCCAAATGGAAGCCGATGAACTGGATTGGACCGCTTGGTTGGACATGGGATTGCCGACAGGAGAGGAGTGACGCTCCGCGTTCACGTGCGAGTTGAAATTAGAAGGTAAATGCCTAGCAAAGCATGTTGGGGGAGGGCCAAGAATCGGGGGGTTGAAAACTGGGGGGATATAAGTAAAGTTGGAATGGGACGGTAAGAGTGAAAAAGCGTAAGAGGGGGAATAAGAAGACGGGAAGGCTTGAGCAGTAGCATCCAAACCCCTATCCACCCTGCTCGATGCAGCAGATAGGGCACCGTTTATTATCCTCTGCGGTGGCCAGAGCATCAATAAATTGTTTGAAGGAAAATTCATAGTATTGCGTGGGCAGGATACTGTCAGGTTGCCCAGGCCTAGACAGGAGAACGATTAGGGTTCTCAACCAAAGCCTTTGGTTCAAAAACCTGACCGCAAGGCAGCGGGTTTGGCGTTGGGCTACAAGGAGTCCATTTTAAGGAATATGGTGCCACCCTCATTCCAACCCCCAACCTGGAGGACCAGGAGGCTGAGTTTGTCTGGCCTCTAACCGTTGACCAATCTGGTATGAGTGACTCTGAAGGTGCAAAAGCACCACCCAGTGTAGCTCAATGGATCGCTGAGGCACACAAACCATCGCACCACGGTAAGGTCCAGCCTCATTGTGATGGATTAAGGGAAGGATAATAAATAAAAAAGCGGTAAATGCATGCATCTAAACTTGCATATGAATATGGTCATAGATTTTCACTATTATGTTATTTCAATTTTAAATGTAAATTATGCATATGACTAGTTAACTTTTATCAGTTCAGCAAAGCGTTTCTGCGGTTTTGACCGCAAACAATCAATCGATTATTAATTCTGTTTTATCCATTTACATAAATCTTGCACCATTTTTCGCTACAACACTGTTTTAAAGAACGCGATCCATACAACGCCTTCCCGCCATTCCACGTGACGAGCGATCCCGGTGGCATCATCAGTGCAAATTGATGCATCGCGCCATCTTCCTGATTGAATTGTCGATCCGTGATCGATCTGCAGGTGGTTTTTTGAAAGGAGCAGCCTCGGTCTGCGTCCCGCGATCTTAACTCATTTTCCACACGAATGAAGTCGGCACTCCAGTTGTTATGCTCTAAACTGCGTGACAGAATCTTTCTTATCTCTTTCTGTCGGAGTGGTTGGTAAACGGAATCAATGTCGATGTACATGTTGATTGAGTTCTTTATGGAGAATCAAGTCTCCAGGAACTCGCTTTCCTTTCTTGTGTCACCTCGTGCCAGGACTACGGTTTTGATCCAATTGAAGCCGTGCTCTTCTTCATCCACGTGCAATGAAACTAGCGATGATACCTAATGCTTTTCACAGACTCTTTTATCTTTTCGTATCCGCGTCGCCAATTTTCTTCCTGTTTTGCCAACATAGTGCCTTTCGCAATTTCGGCAACGCATTTTGTATCCCACATTCCGTCATCCATGTCGCTTTAGTTCTTCTTTTAGTTTTGACAGGATTTTTCTCAACGTGGCAGTTGGCTTGCGTCCTACAAAAGCCTCAGGAATCTCGAATGAAGAGCATGACGGAATGAGAGTCCGCGACTCGAATATCGCGCATTTCTGCGGACTTCCAAAGTTTTACAAAGATGGCACACCGCTACGTCCTATCGTGTCATTCCCAAGTACACTACCTACAACCTGGCGAAAGAAACGTGGAGACACTCCAAACATTCGAGCCGTGGAGCGCAACACTTCATAACCAATGCGCAGAAGCTTGTACTAAAGCTTAAAGACTTGCAAATAAATGGTAATGAAACAATGACATCATTCGACGTGACTGCACTTTTTACTTCTGTCAACTTGCAGATGGCAACAGCGGTCATCACAGAACGTTTGAACAGCAGCGTACAACCAATCGGAAAAATGACAACCGAAAATGTATGCAAACCACCACTTGTGTCTGTTCATCTACTTCTTATTCAGTGGGAAGAGTCATGAGCAAACGAATGGCGCAGCTCTGTAAGGACTTATCGCGGGGATGGTTATGCAGAAATTTGAGGAGGATATACTGCCACTCATCAATCCGAAACTGTGGGTTCGGCATATGGATAACAAGTTTGTGACAATCAGGGGTAGCCAACTAACAATCGCACAACAGCTATTAGATAACCCCATGGAAGGCATCCAATTTACAATGAAACCGGAGAAGGAAAGCCAGTTGTTTGGAGAGTCAATTTGGAGTATACGTTGTGTGATTGGATTGCGACGCGCAATCTCAATGTAGACCGAAATTCACATTGTAGTGAAGCTGGGTCACTGGGACCGTAGGCGAAACAAAGGGAAATTGGATGTTTTTCTTAGACGTATTAATAACAAGAACCATGGGAGGGGAGCTGCAAACATCAGGGAAAAAAGCACACATAGAGACCAAATTCTGAACAGCGAACACCCGAAATGCCACAAAGCTGTATATCTTTTCTGTTCCACGTTGCTTCACTGTGCATTCCCAGTTGGGTCGACACCATTTGGTCTTCTGCCAATCTGGTCGTCTAGCTAGCTTTGTTCCACTAAATTAGAAACGGAACTTAATTAGTTGTTTAACCGAAAGAGCCAGAAAGATTTGTCGTGAGGACGTGCTATTGGAGGAGCTGAATTTCTTAAGTTGACTTTTCAAGAGGAATGGCTATTTGGAAGTGTGTTCGGAAAAATATGGAGTGCCACGAGACGAGAGCTAAAACAGTTTCGGTCGGAAAGAAATTGGTTTATCTATCTTTATCGTTCACATGGGATGGAATAGTGCAAATTACGTCCCGGAGGCCATTGACCATAGATACTACACATTAAAATTACGGCTACCTTTTACTTTAATACAAATCGTGAGGCAGAAGCTCAAGCACAGAGTTCCTCAGTCGAGTGCTTCTTTCTGTTTATACAGGTTCTCTTGTTCATGTCGAGCAAGATATTTCGGAAGAACCAACCAAAGACTGTCTGAGAGAACCCGTGAATATTGCCCGGTTTGGCTGTGTAGTGGTGTGACGAAAACAGTGAGGAACGCTGTGTTGTCACATTTAGTTCATTCTAATCACCAAGTCGATACCCGCCAATTTTTCCAACCTGTTTACCGTGTACCTGGAAGCCACACACGAGCGGTAAGACATTGTTTAGTAGCAACAGCTGAAGCGATTGCTATCCGCCCCCAGAACCCAGATTTATGTGTGCAGAAGCGAGTTTTACAGTTTCATTGTCTACCTTGACCCCCTCACCACAATGGCACATGTTGGGGAACACGCCACTCACATGTTCTTGATCAAACCGAACCAACCACCCGGATTTGTCATTCAGATAACCAGGAACTTTGAATTCTGCCATTGTCCGATGTGTTTCACGCACTTGATTCCTGTCAGTTGTGGTGTATAAAGCTGATGAAAACCACCGAAAACAAGCGTGTTCGCTAACTTGTTTCTGAGGTTGTTCGCATTATATAAAGAACATATCGCAAATGGCGGACAGACTATGGAAACAGCATCACATCAGTGCGGCAAACAAAACAACAGCCACGTTGAGAAAAATCCTGTCAAAACCAAAGGAAGAACTAAAGCCGCATGGATGACGGAATGTGGGATACAAAATGCGTTGCCGAAATTGCGAAAGGCACTATGTTGGCAAAACAGGAAGAAAATTGGCGACGCGGATACGAAAAGATAAAAGAGTCTGTGAAAAGCATTAGGTATCATCGCTAGTTTCATTGCACGTGGATGAAGAAGAGCACGGCTTCAATTGGACCAAAACAGTAGTCCTGGCACGAGGTGACACATGAAAAGAAAGGGAGTTCCTGGAGGCATGATTCTCCATAAAGAACTCAATCAACATGTACATCGACATTGATTCAGTTTACCAACCACTCCGACAGAAAGAGATAAGAAAGATTCTGTCACGCAGTTTAGAGCATAACAACTGGAATGCCGACTTCATTCGTGTGGAAAATGAGTTAAGATCGCGGGACGCAGACCGAGGCTGCTCCTTTCAAAAAACCACCTGCAGATCGATCACGGATCGACAATTCAATCAGGAAGATGGCGCGTTGCATCAATTTGCACTGATGATACCATCTCGCATGGTGGTGAAACGTTTGCAACCTAACTTCCAAGCTAGGACAACAAATGAGCAACCGAGAAGCAGCATGTCTTTCCATATGGCTAATACGCGAGTATTATATGTAGATTTTTATTAACATGTCGTCGTTTAATGGGTGATACCGTACATGCAAATCTGCTTGAACCGGAGAGAGCTGACAAGAAATCAACGAGATCGCAAAGAGATAACAGTGAGTTATCCACACAAATGAACAATATTATTTCCGGCTTCACTGACTGATGTATATCAATAAGGAAGCTGAAGCTGTAAATTGCATGCATTTTTAGATACAGTTTGACCAAAATTAAGCATGGGTACGTGTTTTCGCCTAGTTTACTTATACTTCCGTGTTACGTGAAGTATAAGTGCACATAAAGCAAACGATGACGAGGTATCTATCTAGCAGAGACAGTCATTTCGACTGACGCCCAAAGGAACCTGTTAATTGTGGCTGCAAAATATGAGGAGCACAGTCTTCGTGACAGTTGTAGACCCAAATAGTGTTTTTATCGCAAAATGAGCCACAGTCTAGCCCCAGCCTTATGTACTTCTGTTACGCATATCTACAAAACGCTTCCAATGGTAGCGTACTTCTCGAAAACATGTGGATAATCCAGTATTAGTGGTAGATCTCCTCCATAAGCCTTCCAATCATGTGACCTTGGAGGAATATGCTACCCGCGCATGCAACTGTGAGTGAAGTAGTGCAAGCCAAATATCACTTTGAGTAACGGATAATCGGTAGCGATTTGCAGACAGAATGAGAAAGAAACCCGTAAAGGAGTACACTTACGTTACTTCAGTTAGTATCAACAGCACCAAAACCACTATTCTTGATATCCTTATTGTTCAATCTTTGAAACTGCTCGTGACAATAGCATGCCTAAATCAAGCCGATTCGCAGAGCTAGCTGGTAATTCGGAATGGCATTCTAACGACGAAAAGCGTAGTTAGAAAGCATATGTTAACAGCAACATGGCAGGTTAAGCCTACAATCGACCAGGTCAGCAATGTAGAAATTGTTGATCCAATGGTTAACGGTCTGAAAAACAAGCAAAACGAGATTCATTTGCTGAGTCATAATTTGGGATGAGATGCTCATACGAGTAACCATACTTATTATGGGTTTCAGGTCTGCGATCAGCGGGATGTACAAAACTGTCTGCCGGGTTCAAAATGTACCGAAACTGTGTAGCTTATTGTACCGCGGATGAACCGGAGTATAGCTTTAGAAGCCTTGATCCACGCGTTAACGCAATGTGAAGTGAGCCATTTACAGTTAGCAAGCGCAACAACAAGCTAACGGGAACTAGTAAACTAAAACAGAAAAATTCTACGTATTGTCACGTGTTCGGGACATATAAAACGGGAAAAAGAGTTCAGAAAAGGTGACATGATGTTCGTTAAATTGATGCGTAGTAGTGCATATAATGGTCGGATTTAGTAGTGGGGAAACCGGACCCAAAAGCGGGCAAACAACAAGCTGGTCTATAAATTTGTTTGCTAACCTTTAACAAGCTGCGCATTTCACGGGAAACGCAAAGCAACTTAGTCTCTCTAAGTACAGTCACCAATGAAATCATGAGACTATGGTAATAGTGAGAACGCCGTTACTAGATAGCTAAATCACTAATACGCAAGGGATGGTAGTATGTGCAATCAATTTAGCAATAAACGGATATTGAAAACGAAACACAGTTGAAAGTGAGAACAGTAGCTGATGTACTGGGAAGCCGAAAATGTCAAGTGTGCAGTGATCCGAGGTTTATAGAGGAAAATCGGGTTGAGGGCGATATATCCGGTAGCTTACCTTTTCTTAATGTATTTGATTAAACAACAGTAAAGACTAGAGAAAGATATCCACAATGTCTAAAAAAGCGTCAAGTTCAAGGAAGTTCGTACATGGCATCCATCTGCGCGTGATGGTCAAGGAGGACAGTGAGTTAAGCTCAAAGAGCTATGTGAAGACGATTCTAGAGCACATGGCACAAGCACAAAGGCTACGCTGATATCCGGCAGCCGTAAAACAGATGGCTTAATCCGGTAGCAGAAACTTTGTATGCGAGCCACGAGCAAGGAGTCGGCCAGTAGTTTCATCAATTAGTCTCACGTCACAGAAAGCCAAATGTTTCCCCTTACTAAGAGTGCACGAATTCACCTTGATCCAGGAATCACAAGCGCCGGGTTTAAAACATCTGACAGTGAAGTGAGTAAGTTTATGGGTACAGACACTTACTCAATGCTCAAGTTGGCGGTAACATGCTTCATGTGACCCAACCTAACCAGGTCAACAGAGGAAACAAAATCAACAACACCTGCGATGTATCCACCGTGCAAAGTGTTGAACGAATTTGTCTCGGAAGGTGTGACTTGAAAACGACACGTAAGACAGTTATCCGTAATCGCGACAGCTTCCATGGCGGAAAAAACTCTGTTGAAGGATTTATCGCCTGACAATAAGCGAATAATACGATTAACTGCCTCCATTGAGCGTGACATAGACATTGAGGTCTCGGTAGGTCTATTAAAGTAACATGAGAAACAAAAAGGTAACGATGTTAAAGATAACATCAGTTATGTTGTCCCGATATGAGTTCACAGAAAAGATGAATAAAATTGCAAGGATGCACAAAAGTAGACATAAAACATGAGTGCACATAAGGTGTCATACGAAAGTTGCAACCGGCATGATGTAGACCTAATCATCATCATCACCAACAGCAGTACATCAGCCATTTGAACTGATGCTTCGCTGCCATACAACCATGAGAACCTATGAAATAAACAATAAAAAGAGGGAGAGAAGGGGACTTACCTGAAAACCTTAATGCCCTAAGCAAACATTCAGCGTCAAGGTGCCTACACCTTGTGTAGACAACATACCGTCACAAACAGCTGGCTATCGTGCAAAGATAAGGCGGCATCGGCGAGACAGCTTCCTTGCGGCTTTCACTGCCACTCGTCATAATCAGCCATTACCCCGCAGATAACTCAGCATCAAACACACTTTCAACATGCAATCCGATTAGGAGACAGCAGCAGACGCGCCACTGGTGTCTACTACGAGCCATGGCCTCTAAAGTCTCGAGCCAAGCACAAGGCGAGTCACGTGGACTTCAGCCCGGAAGACGAGACGGACCAACGCCACGCAGTTAGGTCGTCAGTGACTTCAGTTCCCGCTGCCAAGTCAACTTCTGTCCACCTCAAGCCTTGCGCGATCCTACACTGGCAGACTGAACAAGGCCCTCCTAGGTAAGCGGTGACCAGGTATGCGTAGCACGTGCCCGAGCCAACGCAACTTACTCAGTGCCATCTGTTGTTCTAGGGAGCTAGCATGTTTATCACCACCTAGTAATCGCCTACGCACATCATCGATGCGGACACGCTGGTGCCATTCGACTCCAGCAGTGCTTCGCAGACAACGATGATCAAAGACTTGAAGGCGCCTCAGATCTTCAGACCGAACGAGCCAAGTCTCACTACAATAGAGCAGAACGGCCCTCACTGTGGCCTTGTATACACGGCCTTTCAGACGGAGGGAAACACCCTTCTGTCGCCAAAGATGCCGCAGGTTCAAGAAGGCAGCCCTGACCTTAGCAATGCGTGAGCTCACGTCAGTTTCTATGCGCCAATCGTTGCTTATGCAGCTGTCAAGATAAGTGAATTGATCAACCACCTCGAGTTCCTTGTTAGCAAGCGTCAAGGGGTCATCAAGTGGCTGGTGGTCCTGCTGCAACACTTTGCACTTTGAAGGTGCGAAGTGCATACCAAATAATGGGACCACTCTGGACAGGCTATTCTGGGTTGATTGTGCCGCCCCAACATCGTCGAAAAGCATGAAGATATCGTACGCATAGTATAGATCAACTAACCTTTCACAAGGCAGCAATTCAACGCCTACATCGTGAGATTCCCCAAGGGAACACACCATGAAATTGAACAAAAATGGGGAAATCGGACAACCCTGACGAACGCCACTTGTGGTCGGAAAGCTATCTGATTGCACACCATAAACCCTGACGCCGCCTATAGTTTTCGAGTATAGAGCACGCAGATGTTCATCTATTTCGTGGGAACACCTTTCCGCGCAAGTATTTCGAACAGAATCGATCGATCGACTGAATCGAACGCACTCTTGTAATCGAGGAACACAGCTATTGTCGGTCTGCGGTATGCGTGGCGCTGCTCTAGCACCTGCGCAAAGTGAATATATGGTCTATACAGTAAAGTCCTGGGCGGAAACCGGCCTGCTCTTCCCTAATTCGAGATTCCCCTTCCGTAGTGATGCGACGAACGATAATCGAGGCCAGTAATTTTGTCACAACTGGCGTTATACTAATACCCCTGTGGTTAGAACAGTCTGTGCGACTGCCCTTCTTGTATATTGCCACTATAATCGATTCGCTCCAATTAGCCGGGACACTTCCAGAAACATTCGAATAGGGAGGTCAGTGCCTTGCAGAGGACCTCACCTCAATCCTTAAAAGGTGGGAGGGAATCCGGGCCAGCGGCACGAAAACGATTAAGGGCTGTGAACGCGTTTCGGACCTCGACATCCGACGGAGGCTCTAAACTAACCGTCCATGGCTCTTCGTGCATCACCTGGGTAGGAAGAGGTCCGGGAGCATGAGGCCAGCTGAACTGATCTTGAAAGTGTTCCGCCCAACGAGCCATACGGCGCTCCTTATTGTGTATCAGCGCACCCGCGCTTTCTCTGATTGTCTCACTGACACCTGGTTTTCTAGGACCAGTGTTGCGGATCATCTGGAAGAGCTTGCGGTAATTACCTACTGCTCCTGCCTCCTCCATTTCTTGAGCCCTACTGGTACACCAGGCTTCCTTGTCAGCACACAGGCTCTGCTTTAGTTCACGCTTAATAGCCCGTCTGGTCACATTGTGTTCAGAGCCAGCCAGGAGGTGTCTTCTGGATTCCAACAGGTTCACCGACCTCTCGGATATCCAGTGACTGGTGCGGTGACGATTGATAGTGCCACAATCGGATGCTCCTGCGTCGTGCATTGCGGCCGAGATCCTATTCCACTAAAGCTCAGTGTTATTAGGGCAAGACAGCGGAAGTTCGGCACGCAGTGCGTCTTGATAGCCTTGCCTGACCGAGGGCTGAGACAATTTCTCTGTTGCCAATCGAAGGAGACGCTTGGTGCGCCTCCCGGTAAAGTTCATGGAGAAACGACAACGTACCAAAGCATGATCAGAGTCGACACAGGTACTCCAGTATGAGCGGTAATCCAGGATGGAACCATGCCATCTGTAACTAATGGCTAGTGGTCAATTTGGGTCCATCGCTGGCCAGCTACAGGAGGACGCCAAGTGGCACTACGGCACCCAATGTGTCGAAAAGCAGTGCTACTAAGAAACAACTGGTGCTCCGCACACAGTTGCAGTAGACGCTCACCGTTGTCAGCCCGTTCGGAGTTAAGCCTACAATCACCACCCAGCTAAGCTTCTGAAGAGCTCAGACGCCCTACTTGTGCGTTCATTTCCCTGCAAGGATTATAATATCTGAACTAGTAGCACTGCGTAACAGCGCATTCAGTTCGTGATAGAATGTGTCATTGACAGCATTTGAACTGCAGTCGGTGGGAGCATAAGCGGAAATCACAAACAAACAGCGTTTTTTACTACTTCGTGAATGAAACTTAACTGATGTCAAACGGGCTGCACATAAACGGCTGTTCACCGGAATCCAATCAACCAACGATCGCGCAGCCTTGGAGCTGAGAATGATACCCACACCCGTGAGTGCTGCATCGGTGTCTCCGGATGCGTGCAACCAGTAAGGAGAGGATAAGCCGAGTGTAGTTAATTCCATAACCCCGTTACGGTCATTGATCCGAGTTTCGGACACACAACACACATCAATACCCAGTGTGTCCAAGGTGCGTGCGAGTGCAGCCTGTTGATCTGTTTGTCTTAGAGCACGAACGTTGAATGTCGCCATGGAAACGGGATAGCGTGGCCTTATAAGAGACTTTTGCCGACAGGCGTCCGGTAGGTGCTGTGGGATGGTGGCTGAAGATGGTTCTACTCCAATGGCACTTCGGTTGCTGTCAATTAAGCCGGGAAGTATAGAAGGTTAGTAATGAGGGTCGGGATGGGAGTAAGAGAAACAGGTGGAAATGAAAGAAGGGAAGCGCCAGCAGTAGCATGTTTTCGCTTATCCGCCCTGCTGTATGCAGCAGATAAGGCGACCCTTGATAATCTGCGCGACCGCCGATGCAGGATGAAGTTTATGTTTGAAGACAATTTCATGGTTGTATGAGGACTGAGATACTGCCAGGGCGCCCAAACCTAGACAGGGTTAGCCGGGGTAAAACGTGTATACGGAGTGATTAAAACCTGTATTAAATAAGTTGTTGAAGTTGCATGAATATTTGTAGACTTTTATTAATGTTGAATGATTTTCTTAGCTACTTTGTACAATGTGGCTTTGTTATTACATTACAGGAGGTTCCGCCATCTTGTTTATGGCTGCCATATGTCTACACTGGCTTGTAAAGCTTATGCTGAAGCAACTGAAAATTGAACAGTGGTAAGCGCTACATACTATTGATCAGTAAACGTTTACAGAGCTTGCAGACAAATCAAATTAAACTTAATATATTTTTAAAATGGCTGCTGGTTAATTTGCATGGGGTAAAATGGGTATGTATATATTTTACAGAACAATTTAACAGAAGTTTATTGGAGAAAATATGTTTGATGTTATTTGTAACGTTCATATTGTCTTAACTATTATATTCTAATATTAGTTAACATAGACTACAGTATATGAAAATTGCACCTATAATGGGTTACGTCTGTATCAATCCTGGATTATGGGCGATCCTGCAAGATCATGCTTTTGCGTCACAAAATCAGGATGGATAGGGGACTCCGTTTCTGAATCCTGGTTCGTGCTTTTTATTCAATATGCAACACATGTGCAGAGGCCAATGCTGCTTAAATATGACGGAGATTATAACAAATGGCGACAGAGAAATTTGGAAATGTGATAAATTTTTCTGCTGAACAATTTCAAAAGCTGCTTTTTCAACAGCAAGTTCAAATGGAGGCACAAATGAAAATGATTGAAAATCTGACACAATGCTTGAGTCTGCAGACAACAGGAGCAGCGGCGCGGGACACGCAGGCGAGTTCTGTTGATCTTCTCACGAACGCCATCACTGAATTCAATTATGATGCGGATTCTGGATGCACCTTCGAAGCATGGTTCAAGCGCTGGGAAGACATGTTCCAGACGGACTTCATTCGTAAAGACGACTCCTGGAAGGTGCGATTGCTACTCCGCAAGCTCGGAATAAGTGGACATCCAAGGTTCATAGACCACATTTTGCCCAAACAGCCGAAGGATCTAACTTTTGATGAAGTAGTGTCGCAGCTGAAGGAAATTTTTGGTGAGTCTGTATCCTTGTTAAGGATTCGCTATCAATGCCTGAAAATTGTCAAACAGTAATCAGATGACTTTGAGGCTCTAGCAGACATGT